CAGTATCGCGTAACCGTATTACGTCTTTACTATTTTTAACTAGCACTTTCGTTCTGAATTTAATTACTTTTCTCGGAATGTAAAAGACCCGAGGGAGATTTTTGCATTGTGGACAGCGAAAATGATAAATGGACAAGATTAGCTTTAAATTAATCTTGTTATCTTTGAGTAATGCAAACGACGTTACATTTAATTACATTAATTTTAAATGTATTATGTATTTAATATGTTAAATATTAAATACATAATACATTACACAAATACATAATAAATATTAAATACATAATACATGACACTATCATATATACATATATTTTTGAACTTATTTAGTTTATAATTTATAGACAGTAAATATATTTTCATAGATTTTGTAATACATAAACCTTGGATTGGGCGTAGTTATAAAAATATTTTTGTTACAATTATATCTTTTTCTGTAATTTATGATCATAACATTATATTTATTAATAATTATAATTTTATAAATTACTAGTTGTCTCGAAGTTGAGGAGGATTTCACAGGACTTGATGCTTTAAGCATCGATTTATTAAATTACTACTAAGTTCGGAGCTACGGAGATGCACGCAATATGCGGCCACGTGGTGTTATAAGAACCTAAAATTAAGATTTATCATTGTGCAACAATTACCGCGTCGATTCCCATTAGCCTATTGCTTTCAAATTGTTATAATTTTATAATTTTTAAATATTTGTTATTATTAACGACTACATACGTGAAGGTTTTTCTTTCAAAATAACGATCACGTTCGAAATTATAAACATACATAAGATGTGAATATTATAATTAGGTAAATAAATATTGCTGCATCATGAAATATCAATCGAACATTGATTCTATCACTAACATAAATGATGAATTTAGAAGCAACTTTGAAGTAAAGTGTTAAAGTAGATTGTAAATTCTAGGAATTCTCTTAACTTAAAAAAAGAAACACTGGCTATGTAATATCTATTTGTACTAACGATAGGAATTTACTTTGTATATAAGAATCTCTCCGACTACGCGTGCAGACACATATATATACGAATATATAAAATATGAATCGAAAAACCAACATTTTCGCATAAAGAGAGAGAAAACACCATCGCCACCTTCGTCAATCATCTAGACACAGTTAACATATTTTTCAATCGTTCTTGTTTTAGAAACTCATATCTAAAAATATATAAAAATTTAGACACCTACGTGTGCTAATTCTGTAAAGCTTATGAATTCAACATTCCCTTTGCTTCTCAGGGAGCACGTGCATTTACGCATGCTCACGGAAATGCAGGTGGTGACGTGCAAAGTATAGTCACCTCGTAAATGTTTCATATGTTAATGTCTACTGCGTTTTTTTTTGGGGTGGTGCAACTTTTTGTTCAAAGAAACAAATTTGTGTGGCCCTCCTACGACATCGCTAAATAGTCTATATGAATATCTAAAATGAGTGTAATGTCCTCCAATGTTCCTAAGAAGCTCATTATTAATTTCTCCTCCCGTCTGTTTCTTCCTTTTGACAACTCGCTCTGTTTCAACAATTTGCATTTTCTGAAGTTCAACCAACATTTGTCATTGAACGAACTTTAAAACGTAAAAAATAATGCGTCGCCACGTAGCTGTGCGAGCGATGCATTAAGTAATATGTCATATGTGTTTATAGCAACGCAAAAAGGCTGAAAAATAACATAAAGCAAACTAATCATTTTTAATTTAAAAAATTTTAATTAAAAATGAAACCTATTATCATAGATTAATTTTTTAATTAAGGAGGCACGTGTTTTCTACAGACTTTACTCAATCCTTCTACTGCGGTGCTGTTTCACTTGGTATTGTGATGTGGATAGAAATTGAAACGTTCGCTGTTTTACTCATATAATAGTGAAGATAGATAAAAGTTTGTGCCAAAATGTCTAAATTCAGATGCAATTATAATTGTTGTTAATTAATTTGTTAAAAAATTACTACGCAATAACTACCATGCTGATTTCTGTAAATCATTTATATCTCAAATGTTGATAATTGAAAATCTATTAATTTATTATTTTTAGTTTCAATCACAAATATTTATTAATTGCGGTACAGATGTTATAAGTGCCGCGATGAGTAGATTAAAACCTTAAATATAATGATACTTTCAGAATTTTGTTAGAAACACTTATTTCGCGTTTCGTGGAAGTATCGTTCTAAATATTTCAACTATGTTACTCCGATGATACATTTTGAAACCTATTTGCGATTATTGTAAATATATCTCAATTCTTCAAAATTGATTCGCTTCTATAAAGTAAAGCTTCCTTATTTCTCGTTAGCTCTTAAAGTCGCTCAAAGCCATATAAATATATGTGAACGTTATAGTATCATGCATTCTGCTAAATGTATGTCGCATCAAACGGAAAGTTAAGTATCTGCCCGGTGGTCGTACAATTTTCGTTGTTAATTTCGTGTACTAAATTAACGGTGTGCTATTTTAAGCGAGAGTGAGTCGTTCGAGCGAATTATTTGCGTTTCACGTATTGAAATACGTACAATAGCATGAGCAGTAACAGGGAGCAGCCACCAGGAAACGAGAATGACAAGAAGAATCCCTCCAGCAAAGAGGACAGCCCGTCGGACGATAAGGAAGATAGTGGTTCAGCCTCGACGGGAAGCAATGGCGGTGCGACCACGGAAGAACCGTCGCAGCCCGGAAGTAAACCCAGCTCCGTGGGCGCGACCGTCAAAGAAGAAGCGCAGAAGCTGCTGGGCCTAGCGGCACGCAAGGAATGGGCCGTCGTGGACCAGTTGCTGAAGTCTTTGGAGGAGACTGTGCAGAGCACTGGGGAGGATGGCTTCATCGTATCGCTCGCCGGTGTTTTGGACACGGTTAGTTTCCATGAAAATTAAAAAATTTTTGTCTCTCTCAAAGATCTTCCGCATATCATTCACATAACTATATCGAAGAGACCGAAGAATATCTGACGCGAAAGAAATCAATTAGATTTTCAGAAATAATTGTGAAAGCAAGTAATATTTTAAATGGATATAATGAATCCTTGTCATAGAAATGTCTACTCGCGAGAGACTTTAACAAGAAGTTTGAAATAGACGCAAGACGGTCAAACAATTATAAAAGAATCGCGCGACACATTTATATTTCTATACAAAAATTTTTTCATTTGCAGACGACGGGGATGACGCCGTTGATGTACGCAGTGGAGGACAACCGCAGCGAGCTACTCGATCGCATGATCGAGCTCGGATCCGATGTGAACGCCAGAAACAATGCAAGTATTCTACGATAAATAAGACAAATTGTTTGATAAATCGAGAGTCTTTATCCTTAATAAATTTCAAGAAATATTTATTTTATTTATCGTAATGAAAATCATATGTGGGCGGATAAATTTGTTTGAGATATTCCATTTAAAACCATTGAAAACATGTTTGATTCATCATTTCTTGATTCATTGTCATCGTGATAAGTTCTTGTGCTGCGGTGGCATTGGCACATAAGAGTACTCGCGAAGGTGACACGTGCCACGAAACGTGTACAGCTAATGATCCAGGTTCCAATCTGTGCTAAATTACGTTACTAACAAGTAAACCTATCCAAGTGTAACTTTCCAATTTTATTCAAATTTGGCATAAATGTAAAACTATGAAAAATATTTTAATTATGTTTTTTTGTTTTGACTTGTGCGGTTTTAAGGGCAATTATTATAATTTAAATTTTCACTCTCTTATTAGCTGTAGACGCAATAATATCTAATTACATAGTAAAATCTGTTGAGATTTCTTTTTGCAAAATATTAGTATCTATAGATATAATATCTTTACGATTACTCCTAACACTTTTCGTAATTGATCATTTATAAAATGTAATAAAATGTAGAAAACGTATTAAATTTATTTTCTTTATATTTATTATAAATGATATAAGCATTTGACATTTATAAAATTTGAGAAATATACCTTA